GTAAGCAGCAGTGAGAGCTGCCGCGCCCCAAAAATGTTCCGGACAAGAGGAAGACAGAAGGAGAGCTCGAGTAGTGTCAAGGATATGTCGATGTTTCCGTTCAGCACGTCCATTTTGTTGAGACGTACCGGGACAGGAACGATGAGGTTGAGCACCATGACTCTGAAGAAATGAAAGAAAGTCAAAATCTTTATATTTCATGGCATTGTCGGAGCGAAAAAGCTTAATATTTTTAGAAAATTGAGTTTTAACCATTGTAGCAAAATTGTAATAAAGTTGTTTGAGCTCAGAGCGATTTTTCATAAGAAACAACCAGGTAAAACGGGAAAAATCATCTATAAAAACAACAAAATAGCGTGCGCCTCCCATAGTAGGAGTAGGAGAAGGTCCCCAAATATCAGAATGAATGAGATCAAATGGTGCAAGAGAAACAGAGTCACTTTTATTAAACGACAAAGCAGGTTGTTTGGCAAGTTGACAGGACACACAATCTAAAACATCAGAACTTACATGACCTAAATGACCACTGGAAATTAGAGATTTTAAACGACCAACAGAAAGATGGCCTAAACGACAATGCCAAAGCTGAAAAGGAGATAAAGGAAGAGCAGTGGTAGCAGTGGTAGTAGTAGTAGGAGCTGTGGTAGTAGTGGTAGTGGTAGGAGCTGTGATTTGAGAGGAATCTGGAACATGAAGATGGCTGAGTTCGTAGAGACGTCCATGCTTACGGCCTATCCCAAGAGTTTGCCTCGTCCGAGGGTCCTGCACCAAACAACCAGTACGGGAAAAGGTAACAGTTAGACCATGCTCACATAATTGACTAATGGAGATAAGATTTAAAGTGAGAGCAGGCATAAGATAGACATGGGATAAAGATAAGTGAGAGGTTGAAACAGAACCAACATGACTTACAGACAGAAGAGACCCATCAGCAGTATGGATAGAAGGAACATGAGGAGGAGAAGATAGAGGAGTAAAAATAGTAGGGTCAAAGGTCATGTGATTACAACAAGCGGAATCAAAGTACCAAGAAGTGTTACCTGCGGTGACAGATAAAGCAGTAAATGGAGGAGTACCAGAATTCTGCCAAAAATGTTGAAACATGGCTGCAACATCGGTTTGAGAGAAGACTGGAGTGGAAGGGTCTATAGGGACAGAGGAAGGTAAATCCTCGGAGGCAGCAGCAGCAGTGCGTTGAGCAGGTATTGGTTTAAACGAAGTCCCAGAACGGTGAGAGTGGCTGCGAGAAAAATTCCCGGTGGAAGGACCATTGCGAGAGGCACGGGCGGGATTGCGGAAGCAATCTTGCTGGAGATGACCAGGGCCAGTCTTGTTGCAAAACCGACAAAGACGAACTGGACAATTAACCAGAAGATGAGTCGATGGAAGATTGCGGTTGTGACAGTAATTGCAGGCATTGGACCTCTGTGGTGAAGGTGAGGAAGGAGAACTTCGAATCTGGGGAGTGGCAAGAACAGAGTCCACAGGGTGCGGATGGAGAGTACCAAATCTAGTTTCCTCGGACAACAGTTCTGAAATTGCTTGCTCAAGAGTGGGTAAAGGAGTTCGATGAAGGAGAGATGCGCGTACTGGCTCAAATCGAGGAGTGAGAGCCATGAGAAACTGAACCAAGCGCTGTTGGTCACGGTAAGTAGTAAACAAGGTAGCATCCTTAGTACAGTCCCATGGAGGTTCAGAAAGAGCGAGCTGATCCCAAGCATAATACATTTGGGAGAGAAAATCATTAATGGTTTGAGTGGTTTCTTGGCGCATACCGTGAAGATGACTCAGAAGCTGATATTGGTGAGCAAGGCCAGTAGTCTGATAGCGTTCGTGTAAAAAATCCCAGATGGCTTTGGCAGGAGAGGAAGCAGAGTCAAGTTGGAACCGACCAAACTGAAGGCTGATAGATGTGATAGAAGTATTGCGAAACCAAGTGATGATCTGATAGTTTTTACTATCCCAATCTTCCAGTCGGTCGATATATTTGGCAGCGGAGTCCGTGGCAGTGGAATCTGTGGTTTCTGGAACGGGTTTGCACACATCCCCAGTAATGATGCGCTAAAGTTTCTTTCCTTTGAGGAAGCCAAACATAGCTTGTGCCCATAGGACATAAGTAGTCCCGTCAAGAATAGCGGAAATAGGGTGGGTAGTGGAGTCTAGGCAATCCATGAGAGAAAAATAGCACAAATGAGGTAGAATCTAAAAAAACTGAGGTTACCAGTGAATTCAGAAGGTCGAAATTAGTCAGAAAATGAGTGAACTGACTAAAAATATAACCAGAAAGGCCGAAAATGGATTAGTCAACGAAGCTGGTCAAACAGGATGATGCAGGGCTGATGTCATAGGCGCGGCGCACGTTAGCAGAGAGTGGCGCGGCGCACGTTAGCAGGCGAAAGACACACGGCGCACGGAAGCAGCTAGGGCTGACGTCGGCTGACATCAGAAACACGCGGCTCACGTTAGCAGATGAGGCCGGGGCGCACAATAGCACCGGACAGTGTAGGAAGCGCGTGGAGCGCGTCTGAACCGAATGAGCGCGTGGCCGAATGTTCTGGCGGCGCGTGGAGGCGCGTGCGGCAGCAGATGATGATGAATCTGGTGGCATTGGCTTCGTTGTGAAGAGACGAAGGTGATGGTACTGTCCAATCTGTGTATTAGGGAAGGACGAGGTACGCAGCAATCTGTCAGGAACAAGATATGTGATGCAGAGACTTAGGAAACACACCTGTGCTCTGATACCATGAAAGAGAAATTGAGAGAGTTGAGAGAGTAATATTGAAAGGGGTTTTTGTATTATTAACACTCTGATTACAAACCAAATGGAGGCTCCATTATATAGGAGAGCTGAATACAAACATCATTATGGTATACATCACTAAAATAAGAAAAAGGCACACCGAAAGGAAGTGGGCGGCCGAAAGAAGAGACAAGCCGAAAGCTAAAGCTCCTATTATATACATACTATATTATATTACATACTATATTATATTATATACTAAAGCTGTCTCCATATTAGATTATATTAATAAGTATATGAATATTATATACATATGTTAACAGTTTTCATTGAGCGCTTAAAGATTACTTTGTTTCTTGATACTTGATGTTTGCAAAATTGTGATCGACAACATTGTAGATCAACTCAATGAATCGAGATTTTTCAAATTCCAAGAAGCGAAATCGTAAAAATAAGTTAGATTCAAATATCTTAAACCTAGTTTTTTATGGAATCTTTTCAGTTTCTAAACTTTTGTTTTTTATTTCGATTTTAATTTCAATGTTGATTTTAATATCATTGTTCGCAGATATGGAGTTCGTAAGGATGAAATTACCTATTTAATCTCATTCTTTGTTTTTTTTTTCTTTTTTTAATATTCTTAATTTTAGTGAGACTTATTTATAAATTCTTTTTCAGATAGTTATCGTAGGTTAAGTCTTGTGTAATTTCTTATAGAATCTCAAGTCCTATTTAGATAGGAATGTATTCTACAAGATCCTACATAAACGTAACGTAACGTAACGTGTCACATTACGTTTCGCAAACTTAATGAGTTTTTATTTTTTAAAATTGAATGTGAAAATGTTGCTGGTTTATGTTAGTGTCCCGTTACGTTTCATATAAATATGATCTATGGTAACATTCAATTACCTATATAGGAAATTGAATGTTGCCATAAATCATAGGTGTTACGTTACGTTTATGCAGGTGTCACATTACATTACGTTTATGTAGATATGAGGAAATTGAATGTTACCATAGATCATAGGTGTCACGTTACGTTTATATAGGGGTCATGTTACGTTACGTTTATGTAGATATGTGTCACGTAGGTGTCACGTTACGTTACGTTTATATAGATATGATCTATAGTAACATTCAATTTTTTGTATATGGTTTTACTATTATTTATGATATTAACAACTAATATTGAGGGTAAATGTGTCAACAAACTTCTCACATGACTTATGAGAACATAAGTTTTTTAGTAGGACCATATGTAGCATAAGTCTTCCTAATAAGACTTATAAATAATTTTCCGTTAATTGGGAGTTAAAACTAAAAAAAAAATTATAATATTCTTAATTTTATATCTGATAGTCTCATTTTTAAAATTAAAAAAATTTGATAATGTATTCATTTTTACATAGACAGTTAAATCAAACGTAAGGGCATAGGGCAAAAAAGGTTTTTTTTTCTTTTTTTTTTTCTTTTTCTTAGTTAGCCAAACAACTATTTGAAATATTACTGTACAAAATTAATAATGTTTCCAGTTTTAAAATTGAAAAAAAAAAAATAATATTCTCAGTTTTATTGAATAGTCAAACAGAAGAGCAAAAAAGTCTTTATATCTCAAAACAAGACTTGTTAGTTCAAAAAATCTCAAACAGGATCTAAGCAAGTATTGGTGAATAGGACTTTCAGATAATTAATCCTAAAACTAAATATTTTATTTATTAACTACATCTAAATTAATTGCATCTAAAAATAAATTTAATTTAATTTAATTACGAAAAAAAGTTCTAAAAAAAAAAAAAAACAAAACAAAACAAACGAACAAAATATAAAATTTCAACCAAACAAGGTGCCCTATTAAACTCCATCCCTCCCAATTTTTTCAACGTACTATTCTCAATTTTGGAAGCACAAATTAAAGAAAATATAACAAAAACATTTCCAACATCAAACCAAACACCAAAATACATCTAAAGAAACAAATTTTGCAACTTTTTGATGTTCTCTTTCACAGTGGCACCATCCCAAACATCTATCTTTCCAAGAAAGAATCTAGCCCTGGTTTTCCATGTGCAGTAATGCACTACTAAGCTGTTTAAAACTCAAATAATATCACCCAAGAGAGTTCACCACTTTTTTCCAGATTCAATACTTGGTTATACCAAAGCAATATATTAAAACCCACAATCATTCACAAATCTGTTCCTCTAATGTATGTATACAGAGACACATTTCCTTGGGCCAAAAATTGCACACACTATCATAGTTGCATCAAGTTCTCATTTTTATCTCTTTCTCATTTATATCCCCCGAAGTATTATTCATATTTGAAACACACAAGGTCGGTAACAGACTATATAGAAACGGGGAAAACAAAATTGAATGAAAATGTGTGGGGGAGGGAGGATAAAATAGCTTCTCTGAAGATAGAAAGTACGATCATAATATGGACAATGAAAACTATTAATGCACAAATTAATTGGGAAGAAAACCACTTAATGAGGTTACTATTACACATAAAACAGAGAGACAGTTCATGGGAGGTCTTTGGGTTCAAGGCCCGCAATTTCTCTGACGACTTGAGCTTTGTCCGCCTCAAATTGTTCATCCTCTGTAAAATAAGAGACTACAATTGAGAAACACTACCAAGACTGCTGATACAACTGATAATTCTAAACGTGCATTTCATTTCTACCTTTATCTGTCTTGAAATCTGCAAAAAGACGAAGAAGCTTGCTTCTATTTGCAACAAGAACACTAACAATATCCGGGGGCTTATGTTGGTTAGCGGCAAATAACTGTCAACATTTTATTTTACAATTAGTAAGAAAGCAGACAATTTAGTAATAATTCAACATACAAGAGCAGTGTCTACTTATATATAAGTACCTTAAAAACATGGAATGCTTCTATCTGAATGCTCTTGCTCGACTCCTGAAAGAAAGGGACTCCACCATTTAACACATAAATGTTTAGGGGAAAAATTATGGAAAAATAAATAATCCAAACCTACTTAACACTTTTGTCCTATGAAGCACAAGCACCTCTCTCGAGGACAAGTACTAGTGTTTTGGCACGTGTCGGATATGGACTAAGTGCAGGACAAGCGGAGGAATTGAACATGCTAGGGACACATTGGAACACGTTGGGGTACACACAATGTCCTATTTTTCCGCCCACCAAAGTAACATATCCAAGGTTCATAAATTTGATGAAAAATGTCCTTTATATAAAAATGCCCTTTTCATTGAAAATAGATAGACATAGAATAAATCTATAATATAAAAAAATATGGCATACAATAAATATATAAACTATTATGTCCATGCGTCCCCCTCATGTTGTCCTACATTTTTTGAAAAATTGCACGCCTGTGTGTGCTGTGTCTGTGACTGTGCTTCTTGGCTTTCATCCCCCTTATTTTGGGTTGCCTTGTCTGTGGTCACCACTATTGTTGTCAAATCATGGATCGCATCAAATCGTGTTCAGTTTATTTAGCATAATATATAGTTTTGTGTATGTACATATAAAATTACACATATAGTATTTAAAATGAAATAAATATCAATATAACTAAATTGTATATATGTCTATAAATATTAAACCACATATATCAATATAATCAGTTGATCTTTTCTTTTCTTTTTTTTATGGCGAAAATGACACAGTTTCGTGCATTATGCAAACAAATTGAATTTTTTGAATTGCAATGAATCGTAGCAAATCATTGCCAAGGAAGAAGTGGCATATTTGGTAGTTCGCTGTCATGTAAAACAGTAAAAGGGAAAAGAGTATCATACTCTGAGAAGATTCATAAGAATCCTTAAGTTATCCCTTGAGCTCACATAGCGTGTCATCACAGCAGAATTTGAACGATCCAGCAGAATGTCTCCCAACAGCTGTAACAGTAAAAGAGATTTTCTAAGCAACATTGTAGCAATCACAGATATTTTTATTAAAATATGATGCCACAAGCACCAGAGGAACTGCCACATCTATAAAGAGAATCATGAAGAAGCTGAGACTGGAAAAAAAAATGGAGTTATGCGCCATTTATTTGGGTGTAAAAAAATTTCCAGTAAACAAAATCAGGTTCTTGTTATCATATTAACACATGTGTTATTACAATAAGCTATATTATGCAAAATATGACATGAATGAGGAGCTGGTAACCTACGTTTGTACACCAGCAAAAAGACAATAAAGTGATACATCTTCAAGCTATTCAAATCCCTATCATCCATTAAGGGTACAATTCTGGAGACAAAATTGCATTCCCTAGGACAATATTGAGAATGTCTATTTTTTTTTTTTTTTTTTATAATTATTTACATATTTTCGAACAAAATCTCAAACTTTCATCCTACCTTGACAGCTTGTCGCCTGGTAATGTAATTGGTGGACTCCAGCAGCTTTGAGTTATACTCTGCAAAAAACTAGCAACAGAAATTGTGGAGAATATCAAGTTCTGGCCAACCAGAAATTCAAATAAAACAACCACCACAACAATGAAGATGATGACGGTCATGGTTAAGTTGATAAACAAATAGCCATGGGAAAAATTTATGGTCTCTGTATATCTATCACAAGATATACAAGTAACATGCAATACTCCCTTATAATCCACATCGAATAGCACTCAACAGGCCACAACTCTATTTATATTGACTTAATCTCAAGCACATAAAATGTGCAATATATGCATGTGTCAGATAGTTCTGTAAGTATGAAATGAACTTGCAATACTTGTACAAGTTAGTTTAAACCTCATTAACTAGCACCACTACTCCACTCATATTGACTTATTCCCAAGCACATAAAAATGTGCAATATATCAATCAGTAGTTTAAACCTCATTAACTAGCACCACTACTCCACTCATATTGACTTATTCCCAAGCACATAAAAATGTGCAATATATCAATCAGTACTTTGAGCATGTGTCAGACAGTTCTGATGTAAATATTAACAGACGGTGTCATACTAAATTGGTGGTGCATTAGCACGTTAATTAACAATTGAAAAGGGATTTCACTAAAGAGCAAAGACAGTTTCTTTGCAGATCAAGTCATGAAGACATCAATACAGATACATCAAATATAGAATTTAAATGCTTGCAATCATAATTTTTTACAAACGGTACTTCAATGTAGCATTAATATGTTTCTAAATTAAACACACCATAAAGCTTCTTAACTAGAGTGTGTGGACATACATGCATGAAAACCAATATACATACATACAGACACATTCAAAACATCACTTACCCAGTCATAATTTTTAGAAAGAAATTCAGCTACAGTTGATTTATGCCTTGTCAAAAGTTCCTGCAACAAAAAATTCCAGTTGAGTCACAATAATGCTAAATTGAAAGCACATAATCACAAAACAGCAAACAATTGCCATTCTCAATCCCAGTTGACTGCAGATTGGCTGGTTTTTTTTTGTACAAAGACTGAATGGGGTGCATATCGGTGTGGAGAGGGAGAGAGAGAGAGTTGATCACTAGTTCTGTTCTGTCAACAATACTGAAACCTTGAAAGTTGCTGTAACACGCTTTCAATTTTACAGTAAAAGCTCACAGCATTAAGCAATGAAACAAATTCAGTAGAAGCAAGCACCAAATTTTGATTGTACATTTGACTGGCTTTATTGTACAAAGAGTGAATAAGGGGCATGACTGTGTGAAGAGACAGAGACAGAGAGAGAGAGAGAGTTGAACACTAGTTCTGTCAACAATACTCAACCTTGAAAGTTGCAGCAGCATCCGCAGCAATGTCAAAATTTGGCAGTTGTATATAATCAAAAAACTTCTTCATATGCTCTGATTCCAGAACATATCTGTAAAACATAACAGACAAATTAGAAAATGGGGGACATAAGTGTAGATCCTAATAGGTGAACTTATTGTCCAATAGGAACTATGAGAATTAATGACATTTTTCATCAAATACGATTAAAAAATGTCACTAATTATTAATTTTCAAGGACAGTTTGAAAATTGTCACAAAAAATGTCACTAATTATACGTTTTGGCGACGGTTTAAAAAAATGTCACAAAAAAGTCACTAATTTTTAACTTTCAGCGACAATTTGAAAACTTTGTTACAAAAAAAGTCACTAATTGTAAATTTTAGTGACAATTTATAAAAACCATGACAAAAAAATTACTAACTAATTTTTAGCGACGTATGCAAAAAATTGTCACAAAAATTATTCTTAGCTATGATTTTACTAGGACTTATTTTCAATACAACTTTATGGGAACTAAGTCAAACAATTAGGACCTATTGGTAGTTTACCCTTAGAAAATTAGCACATTTAATAACACATGCAGTAATACCCACATCAAATAATAGTTAAATTTTCCTTCTTTCATAAAAAATAAGTTCCTAATGGCCATTGTATTTAGGACAAAAGCGTGCAACAAATTTATTCATGGATCTAGCTGTTTGATAAAGCTTTAGACAAAAGCCGCCACCACATTCATAACCATAAGTCATTAACTTTGTACAGAGACATTGTTGCTTTTAATTAAGTTGATTAATAGTCTCTACTGAATATAGCAAACAAGCATTAGCATGACCGCCAGTAATTGAAATATATACCACCAATAAAAACAATCAAGTACTAAATATACATATGCATGTATATATAGTTCACACAAAGAGTTAAAAATATGAACACTTCCAAAGTATATCACCTTCGATATTAAGAAAATGGGATTCAGGAAACATAAAGTTTCGATATTAAGATGCATCATTTCTACTGAAATGTGAAGAATAAATTTGTCAGAAGATTATGCATGATTATCTCCTCATGAGCAAAACATACAATTTCATCCCTCATTCAGGAATTTTTTTTCAATTCCAACCAGTAACCAATCACAACAACAAAGTATATTCATGACTCACTAATGTTTGCTTTTTATTCATTTTGAATATTTGGCTCTTTGTACACAACTTCAGTCAAATCACAACATACCAAGGAGCAACACTGTTCATTTGGCTCACCTTGCAACACTCTGATGGCGTATGCATTCCCTCAGCATTGCACCATAATGTAAAGCCATGTCCGTGTTCTCATAACTAAATGAACGAGCAATAGACCATCAAAAAAGTTGATCAATAGGACAAAAAATAACAAATATATTCAAAATCTTAAACTATCCTATTTATCTACTATTGCCCCCAAACACAAAAGGTTCTTTAAAAAAAAAAGGCCCAAAACAAGTCTGTTCACTCAAAGATACTTCCAAACAATGCACCAACAACATAAATATTATAAGATACTGCATAAATACCACAAAATAATGTGGACTATGAATGAATTACTAAATTAGAACTTCAAAAAAATATTAAAGAAATGTCTAGAAAATATTTTCCACTCATGTGAAGAGGTGTCTGTCCTCTATCTACCTCTTGGCCCAAACTTATATATCATTAAAAAAAAGATAAGAAAGTTTAGTATTCCAAAATTCTCTTCCTAAACGATTCAAATGTTAAAAAGAAAACATAGTGCACTAATGTTCTTGGCTCTCCAAAAAGTAGGTACATAAATTATACATTCTACAAAAAGTAATCTGCAAAAAGACAATTAGTTTCTGGTTCAAAAGTCTAGTCAGCAATAAAATAAGTCACTCTCATTTCAAATAATCTAATCCTGTCTTCCCATATAGAACGCCCAACAACTTGAACCGAGTAAGAGAAAAACCAAAGATGACAAACAAAAGATTCCAAATACCACCACAGTATAATAAGTTATGCAGCAAATTAATTAATATATAATGATAATCACAACTTATCACAATCTCCTCTTGTAATAGCTTACCCTGATACCAAAACATCCATTAGATCTATGTTTGCTTCCAAGTAATCACAAGCAATCAGCCGTGACTGAACTTGTTGTCTTTGTAAATTTGCAACAACTTGAGTGGCATCTTTACGGGCCTGCAAAAGTTGAACATTGAATATGATAAATAAGATTGAATATAGGGTCAAAATAAAGAGAAATATTACTGTGATAAATATTGTTGCGGTGTAGAAAACTAGAGAAAGACATGAATCACCAAATCTGACTGTTAAATTGGGTAGACTTGAAGTCTATTGATAGCACTCAATAACAAAATCAGCTCATACTTACCTCTAAGTTCAATTTTGGAAGACATATAATTAACAGACGCAGTGTGTTCTCTCTAAAGAACTCCTGGGTCAATTGTGCACAAGCTTCCGCGACTGGCTCAGCTTCACTATTTCCATAAAGAATCACCTTTAGCTCCCGAATAAGCCTGCTTAACTCTGACATCTGTAGGTGGCACAGGGAGGGGGGGAATTAATACATAGGAAATAAGTACGCATATATAGGCTAAGGTAGCCAATTAATTGCAATAATCCCCACATAAGTAATGGTGAATAAGCAAGCAAATTTCTCAAACCCACAAGCATAAATCTTTCTGCATATCCCAGTACATTTCAGGCCCCAAAAAAAAAATCATTTCTTCACAAATTACATAGTCAATGTAAAATACACCCAACGTCATTTGATACTCGATTATAGAAGACAAAATTCAGCAAGCTGTGGACATCTTCCAACCACATGCTCCAAAATTAATTAAAAATTATCTCAATTGATACTATAACAGCAAAAAAATCCAAAATCAGAACTAAAACCCACTACCATTCTTGGCTTAAAAAAGTCAACATGTATCAGCATCCATGGGCATATGTTTCAGGCATCTGTTGGCAGGCAGTCTAAGAGTATCTCCAATCCTTATTCTCTTTTTTTAATCAAATTTTGGTTAAAAGCTTTATCTTGGGTATAAAACACTCCAATCCTCACTCTCTCTATTTTTTTTATTTTTTTTTATTTTTCTCTTTCCCATCAAATCTTTTTGAAAGTTATCCTAAAAACCTTTTTAACCATGTTTGATGAAAGAAAATCATCTCAATCCTTACTCTTTTTAAAATGCATCAAATTTGAGTAAAAATATGATTGTTGAAAATTTGGTAAAGGTAGTGAAAATTTAGCCTATCCCTTGATTTAATACAAGTTTGATGAAATAATTGAAGCTCACCTCAGCTATTTATTCATCGAACTCAAATTTGATGAAAGAATTAGTGAAGGATTGAAGATATGCTCTAAGAAGAAAGAAATTTTGCTGTCCACATTACAAAACTCTCACTTGGCCTTACCAATACAAATATTTGCAAACCAATCCAACTAAATAAATGTGACAACAAAACTTGGAGAACAAAAATTTAAATTTATTTAGTTCCATAAAAGACAAGCACACCTTACAGTTGTTAAAATTATAATTAAAAAATAACTCATTCTTTCTAGAATTGCCAAATTATGTATAATAAAATAAAATAAAATAAAAAAAAGATGAAATTTTTTTGATCATATATGATGACCCAAAAGAATACCCAAAAAACCCAATTGATACAGATGAGAATCGAATCGAAAGATGAGAGAACAAAGAACTGAACCTTCTCTTCTCTCTTGCTTTCGCGAGAGTCCGAATTGAGATCTGCATAGATGAGAATATCGCGAGTCTGACGAACGAGGTCAACTGGAGTTTTGGGTTTGGATTTGAAAAGACCCTTCATCTTCTGCTTGTCCCCTTCACCCTTCTCTGGGGACGAGAGCCTCTGAACCACCGCAAGCGACGGCGCCGGAGAGGCTCTGCGTACCACCGGAGATTGGGTTTTGGGGGATGACACACAGATTCCTATTGTTGCTCCTCCTCTCTCCCCCAATACCTATTGTTTCTCTCTAGAATTCTCACTTCTCTCTCTCTCCTAGGGTTTCATTTTGTTCCTCTGATTTCAAAATTTTGTGAGGATTAGATTCATTGCTTCACTGTCCATGTGGCAAACTCTGAGATAAAAAGAAAGGAGAGAATCAGGATCAGGAGAGGAGATAAAAAAGAGTGGTTAATTACACTACTTTATGCTATTGATTTTAAAATTATATTTATTTGGACCTGCTTTACTATTAAAAAATCATTTCATTTTCATCCCTAGAATTTAAATATATGATTTTAAAATAAAAATCAAAATAATATTAAATAATAATTAATGTTATTAACCTGACAAAAAAGGTAGAGGGCATATTTATTTGCTAATTGTTTTTTTTAAGGAATGAGATTATTGGCTATGTTTAATGGGTGTTTAGGGTTTCCTTACTTGAAAGATTTATTTATTTATTTATTCTTTTTTTAGTAAATTTTATTTTAAAATTTAAAAAAAAATTAAGTTTTTTAGATTAAGTTAAATTAATATAAAAAAGTGACACTTTTTTATTTTTAAAAAAAAATCTAAAAAAAATTACTTTTTAGATAGACAAAAAAAGTAAAAAAAAATTGATATAATTTTGAAAAAAAACATACTAAAGATAAAAAAATTCAAAAAAAAAGTTGTTTTATTTACCTCACTCCAAACAACCCAAATATGAGAATTAAAAAAAAAAAATAGTACTTTTGAGATTGATTAAAAATTGGGATTAGTAATATCTATCTAGATAAATGATGAAATTATGTATCTAGGAGTATGTATATTATATTTTAATTAATGATGAAATTATGTATCTAGGAGTATGTATATTATATTTTAATTAAGGTGGAATTTAATATCATGGATGGGTTGATATAACAATGATATGGTGGTGATATTAACAATGCCAGTCAATCCTATCCATTTTAACCAATCAAAAGCATTAAAAGATAATACAAAAAACAGCAATGATACATTCTCTGAAGGAATATTTTTTTAAGGTCTCTAGTATTAAAATTTTATAGTATAAAAGATATTTAATATTTTAATAATATTTAACGTCCCTCAAATTGATCCAGAGAAAATTCGACTTCACAGAGAAAATTTCTCTGACCTTCCCTAGACTTTCCACTGTAAATTTCTCTGGCCTTTCCTTTTCTCTAGAGAAATTTTTTTCTCTGGCCTTCCCGACCTTCCTTGGACTTCCCACAAAATTACCTCTTCAAAGAAATTTTTTCTTTGGCCTCCCTGGACTCGATGTGTTGCAAGTAATGTAGTCTCTCTTCCTCACTTCCACCACCGAATCTTTGTTTCCATCGTAATTCCACACTATTGCATTGCATTAGAGAGAGATTTTAAAATCAATAGAAACAGACACTGAGATAGAGACAGATTAAGAATGGAAATGAAGATGAAGGATTGAATTACCGAGAGAATCGCCAATGAGGAAGCGAGAGTTTTGAGTCCATAGACTGAGAGACTTAGATTCAGACGAAGGAGAAGACTAAAGCTTGAACTCACTCATCAATGGCGTACGTAGACCACGCTTTCTCCATTTTCGACGAAGACATCATGATAGACTCCTCTTACAGCTTAAACAATCGCCTTTCGATCAAAGAGATCGTTTTCGTTGTCTCTCTTCTCGTTTTCAGACCTAGAATGAGGGAGGAAGAGAGAGAGAGAGGAAGACGAAAGGGACGGTGGTAATGGTGGTTAGTCGACGGCACTGCGAAGAGAGAGAGAGAGATGTAATGGTGAATAGGAGACATAGCGGTCAAGAACAAAATATGCAGAGGTCGAGAATGAGAATAGAGAAGAAGGAAGAGTGAGAGAGCGGGAGTAAGGGACCTTAGACATTATAAAATAATATTGTGGATCTCTTCTATTACTAAAAATGGAAAAATGGGCCTTAGACTAATTTTTCCTTCTCTAAATGATAGAGCTCTAGTGATATGGAAAATCAAAAAAAGAAAAGATACAAATCACTATCACAGTAGAGCCCACCTTCAATTAGAGCTCCTAGAGCTCATTTATTAGAGCTCTAAAACATTTTTATACCAAAAAAATGGAAGACATATGAGGTCCACACCATTATTAATCTCAATCTTCTTTTCAAACCACGTATCAAATAGCAAAAATGTTAAATATCTTAAAAATTTTACTAAAGTTTTTATCAAATACTTCATATGAGCGTGAGACCCATACGAAACTCACATGGTATGGATCTCACACGCATATAAAATATTTGGTAAAAATTTTAATAAAATTTTTAAAATATCTAGCATTATTCATCAAATAGTGCCATAAGTATATGTTATATAATGGGACAAAATTAACAGTTCTGCTGGAGACCCCAGCAGAACACAACCCCCAACACCCCCACCTTCACGTGAGGGGCTGCCATTGGCTGAAACCAAAAAAATAAAAAATAAAAAATAAACAATTTTTTTAGCCAATCAAGAGAGACTCCAGCACCCTGACTGGGTCTCATGTATTTTCCCAAAATTATATTGTTTTGGGGGATGACACACAGATTCCTATTGTTGCTCCTCTCTCCCCCAATACCTGTTGTTTCTGTCTCTAGAATTGTCTCCTCTCTCTCTCTCTCTCCTCGGGTGTCATTTTGTTCCTCTGATTTGAAAATTTTGTGAGGATTAGATTCCTTGCTTCACAGTCCATTTGGCAACTATGATGAAAAGAAAGGAGAGAATCAGGATCAGGATCAGGATCAGGAGATAAAAAGAGTGGTTATAAGTACACTATTTTATGCTATTGATTTTAAAATTATATTTTTTTTTGACCTACTTTATTATAATAATAAAAAAATCATTTCATTTTCATCACTACAGTTAGATATATGATTTAAAAATAAAAATCAAAATAATATTAAGTAATAATTAATGTTATTAACCCGACAAAAGGGGTAGAGGGCATATTTATTTGCTAATTGTTTTTTAAGGAATGAGATTATTAGCTTGTTCAGTAGGTGTTTAAGAGGTGTTTGTTTGAAAGGATTAAAATGGAAGATTGACTTTCATGTCCATTTTATAAAGGATTTCATAATTTTGTTGGAAATTTGTTAGCCAGATTAGAAGTCTAACCGGACTTTATGTCCTTTATATGTGAAATTATTGTGTCCTAGGAAGAGGTATGTTTTAAATAATGGATAACAATCACATGAGATTAACTTGTAAAAAGACACTTTTACCCCCTAAATACATGTATCTTAATTTTTTTTTTTCAATAAAAAATTAAAATTTCAAATTGTGGGATAAAGATTCAATTTGTTTTTTCATTATCACACAGATAAATGTTTAGTTTCATTATGTATTGTACTTAGTAAATAAAATAAAATTTAAAAGTCTCAATTAAAAAAAATATTTAATTTTTATTGATGTTTTATTTATTTAATTTTATAGAAGTTCTAGCAAAAAATAAAATAAAATAAAATATTAAAGATAGATTTATTATTGCTATTACTTAGTAAACAATTGAAAATGATAAAATAATCTTTTGAGTATTTATCTTTCATCATAATATTCTAATCAAATATTAGATTCACTAGGATAATCATTTATAGACATCTAATCGCATAAGAAAATAAACATGTAATACACCAATTTTCCAACCAAATAGACCAAGGACTATTTATCTAAGATTAATAATCCAATAGATTACAATCCCCCTTATCTAATCTATCTAAACAAACATGCCCTTAGGATTTATTTAAGTAGTAGCTTCTTTTTTTTTCGTTTTTAGTGAATTTTTTAATTTTTTTTCAAAAAAATTTAAGTTTTTAGATTCAACTCAAACGAACCGGAAAATTAAAAAGTTTTAAAACTGGAAAAAAGTTTAGAAAACACAACCAAAAAAAATAGTGGACTTTTTTTTTAAAACTTATTTTGGCTTTTTTATTTTTATTATTTTGAATTTTTTTTAAAAAAAAATTACTTTTTAGATTTGTCTTCACAAAATGAACCCCAAAAAATAAAAATAAAAATTTGATATAATTTTTTTTTAAAGAAAAAAGTTACTGAAGACAAGAATTTAAAACAAAAAAAGGTGACTTATTTAGTTAATCCCAAACAACTCCTTCATATGGGAATTAGAAATTTTCTTAGTACTTTTAAGATTGATTAAAAATTGGGATTAGTAATATCTATTATATAAATGATGAAATTATATATCTAGGAGCATGTATATTATATTTTAATTAAGGTGGAATATAATATCAAATAAAAAATGGAGAAATAATTTTAAGACTAATGTTATATGCATCAATTAGTGCACTAATTTGTGTATCAATTGATGATGTAAAATAATTTAAGATGTTTTTAATATTTGTAATTTGTATAATGAGTGTAATCAATGATAATGTCACAACTAATATTAGTACACTAATTAATACATATAACACAACTTTACTTTTAAACATTGGATGAGTTATTATAGCAATGACATGTTCTTGATATTAACAATACCGGTCAATCCTATTCATTTTTACCAATCAATTACATTAAAATATAATATAAAAAAACATGCAAGACATACATAAGGCCCACACCATTATTAATTCCCATCTTCTTCTCAAACCACGTATCAAATAGTGCCCATAGGAATGTGTTATACAATGGAACAAAAATTGAACAAAGGAGAGGGAATTATTTGTAGGGTAAAATTCATATTATCCTTGTAGTTTAGTGGTGGAATACTTTAACTCTATCTTCTAAATATCCTTATTGTTTTGGATTAAAATATAATATTTAACTTCGTTATTAAATATATGAATTTACCACTTAACACTTTCTTTTTAAAAATGAGTTTCAAAATTTTAATTTATTTTTAGTAAGTTGACACAATGACTTAAAACCATTAACTCAATGGTTTTTATATATACACAATGACAAACAAGGTTAGGTCAAGGAAGAAGGGGTTGCATGGGTGATTGGTGAAAGGGATTGTAGGGTGTGGATGGCTTGCGATGGTTGGCTTGGCGTCATTTTAAGGATAGGGTTAGGTTTGGCTTGGCGTCATTTTAAGGATAGGGTTAGGTTTTGAAGAAGAAAATGAATAGAGTTATGATATTTTTTACAACAAGAAGATGAAAGTAAGGTTCAATTTATCATTTTACAACATATTTTGACTTCTAAATTAGGTTATTTATTTATTTATTTATTTATGTTAA